GGGGGGGGGGGGGCATCACTGGATGCCACAGCATGGCAGACATCGTGGGGCAGTGTGCATGGTGGTACGGGACAAGCCTCCTCCATGGCGTGGTGGGATGGCTAAACCATAAATCCTTACGCTGTAAGTATGCATGAACCGAGTAGCACTTTTTAGCATACTGTTACCTTCTAACAACCCTGAACACTTCCAAGTTGCACACAAAAGCAGCAGAGGAATACGCCCTCTGCTGACACCTGAACCCCAACCCATGATCCCATCGGACACTGGAATCGACCATTTCAGCTTTACACTGGACCTCTGACATCCTCGAACTCCCACGACTCTCACACTCGCACAAGGTGCCCGCCGGTTCAGGGTTTAGGGTTTAAAAGTTTAAAGACTCCAAAACCCCTTAATTAAGGAATATACCTTACATCACATCAAGGCTCCTACATTAAACTTAAGGGCATATTCCTTCATTACAACCCCACGAAGACTATGCGAGACTTGCCTCATTCGCAAAAAGGTTCCGAGTCAACAACCGGAAACCCGGGAGCCTCAGCCTCGACTGAGGCCCTGAAGCGTTCTATACATTAATACAAGGAAACGTATAGATATATAGTATAAAGTCAGACAGTGTAATAGATTATATGCTTACATATATATATATATACATATATATATATATACACATATTTATTTGTTTATTTGTTTATTTCTACTTATACTTTTTATTTATATAATTATACAAATTACAGAAAACGCATTACATATTGTCTGTTACATAAACCCGATTATAAGCCCTGAAACTATGTTAGAAACCGGGAAAGTGTGAGTAGTGCTGGTGTTCCCTACAGTTGGTGTTTTTTGTCGGGAGGGGGCTGAGGGCGAGAGGCAACGAGTTGCCAGCTTTGTGGCGGCTGTTGCAAACCCTGAAACCGCTAAACTCCAAACCCCAGACCTTAAACCCTAAACCCCTACATCCTCGAAACCCTCGAAATCTTGAAATCCGGAAATCTCTTTTTCCAACCCAGACTCTGCAACAGGGAAGCTGGGAAGTCCTCAACCCTCAACCCTACTTCGCAGCTGAATCCAAAAGCCCAACAAAGTGTAAACTTTCAGCTCGGTATGGGAAATCTTGTCCCAAAAGAAAAAAGTGGCTCATTCAGCTGCGACGCCTCAACCCCGAAGCGCTTAAACCAAGCAAGGGTAGTGATCCGGCTTTGTTAGAGTCATAAGTGGGATCACCTGGTCCTTTAAATATACCTTTGACACCCTAGAAAGCCCGATGAGACTCTGCAAAAACCTGAAAACTCCCTAAAACAACCCAGTAACACCTGCTAAAGCTAGGTAGTAGGCTCCCTAAGCGCTAAACCCTAAACGGCCCTAAACCCGAGTGCTAGGGAGACGGCAAAGCTGCGCAGGGCTTCCGCAAGGCCATCTGAAACCGCCTCTGAAGGATGTTCAACGCTCAACCGGCTTCTTCCGTTTCGGGTTTAGGATTGGGCGGTTTTAGGGTTTAAGGTTTAGGGTTTAGAATTGGGAAATTCGGTTATTGAAGTTGAGAGCGAACCCTTTTATGGGCAGGTTGTGTCCAGGCCTCAGCCACCGTCATGTGACACTCCATCTGGGTCTCCGGTGCTTTTGTCTCGGACCTTTCCTCACCGGCACCAACTTCTGTGCGTGAAGTCGGCAATCTCTTCCCCGCACATCAAAATCACATTAGCATCCCCAAGATTTCCCGGCAGCCCTCATAGATGCCGTTACACTCGGCAAAGTCCAACAATTCCGATCTCTTGCCCAGCGCCTTCGTTTCCGGGTCGTTTGCAGCGCCAAAAATCCCGGGGTTAAGATCGAGGCTTTGGGGGTTTACAGCTGGGGTTCGGGACTTGGGGTTGGGGCCCTTAAGAGTTCGGGGATTACGGTATAGGTTTGGGGATTCGGGGTTTTCGGATTTCGGATTCGGGGGGTGTGCTGTCCGGAGCACGACATCTCCTATTCATTACGGACATCGGCTATGAGGCCTCGTCTTGCCAATCGCCAAAGGTGTATCCTAAACTCTAAATCCTAAACCCTAACCCTAAACCCCAAAAGCCCCTAAACCCTAAACCCTAAAAGCCCTAAACCCTACACCCTAACTTATGTAGTCTCAGCCGACACGGAAGTCCAAATCCCGAGAGAATTGAGGAAACTGCAACCAAGCTAGAAACCCGAAGCAGCCTTTCCCCTGACCTCCACTTCAGGAAGGGCTGGGCGTCGCATTTTAGGGTTTAGGGTTTAGGGGTTTAGGGGTTTAGGGGTTTTGGGGTTTAGGGTGTAGGGTTTGGTTCTACTTGGGATATTCTTCCCAATCCTCGTGTAACCTTGCGTGCTCCGAAGCTTACAAAGCCCTTTCAAAGGCCGACACTTCAAGAACTTCCTATCCAACACAGGGAACCCACTTAAAAGATAGCCAGAATGAATAGCAGTTACAATAACAGCAACAAGTACTACAAGTCTACGCAAAAAGCTAATCGAAAAAACCCATAACAACTGTAACAATGAAAAAGGTGGTCAAATAATACCGATAATAACCAACGACAACTAATTTAATATGCATCTCATAGTAAACATACTAGCAACAGAAACAATAACAGGCAGTCATCATGAAAAAATCATAACAATAGTAATAACAACAAACTTAGAACCATGCCTGCAAATGGCTATATCTGAAACTTACCAGACTTAGTTGCTGAGTTCATAAGCCCAATAAATGTGAACTTTTTGTTTCATAAGGGGTAATATTCTCCCAAGAAGTGTAAAGTGTATCCACTCAGCTACTAAATGAAAGCCCAAAACCCTAAACCCTAAACCCTAAATTCCTAAATAAACACCCCCGAGGATGAAGCGCGTCCGAAGATCCCGGAAGCCGGAGAGCCTTCGGGATCCGACAGACACCGAAGGTCTCCAGCCTCGGCTCAGAGCTTGGGTTTTTTTTTGGGGGTTTTAAGGTTTTGGGTTTTAGGCTTTAGGGTTCTAGGGTTTAGAGTTTAGGGTTTAAGGTTTGGGAGATACTCGTTGGAATGGGGTTTGGGGGATATTATAGTCTGAAATTCTCCCGCGAACAAGGAAATGCCAGTGGGGTGGTTCCACCTTCTCACTGCGCCGCGCAGGGATGCAAGATCTGCAAGCAAGCGAATCACTGGCGATGTGCAGCGCTGTCCCTGCATCGTGGTGATGCTCGTGTTGATGATATGGGGCTTAGAGTTAGGCTTTGAGCTACTTTCTTGCGGATCCCTGTAACCTCGCTTGCAACGGCTGGAGCACCCATCTTAGTGTTTAGGGTTTTGGGAGGTTGAGGTTTAGAGGTTAATCCCGAAAATCCAACAGACCTGTCTTGTTAGCCTTTGGGCAAAAAAGTCTAGCTAGAGGAGACTCTCAGCTGGTCTGGGCTTCTAGTTAGTAGGAATCTCAGCATCCGATACGCCACAAGACTACAAGAATCCGAAGTGAGGTAGGGTTTAGGGTTTAGGGTTTAGGGTGAGAACTCCCACTTCCCTAAACCCTTGAGCCCAAACCCCAACTGATATCTCCCGCTTAAGTGCTGGGCATCTGCCCAAGCTTTGCAGCTTCCTGGGCCACAACCCCCGGCTCCAGCGTGACTTCCTTTCGGGGCGATAGTGATGTACACAAGGAACTAAGGCTTCGGCTTTTGAAGGGATCGCTCAGGTAGTGTGCTGATGCGTCTGGAAACCTAGCTAGGGGGTGCATGCAACGGCTTTTTGTCACGGCTGCTCAGAGGGCCGCCGTCACTGGTGCGACCTCCATGTGGTCGGATCCCAACACGGAACCAGAGCGATCATCGTCACTGCTACCGACATCATCAGCAGAATAATCATCGCAACCATCAGCGCCATCATCATCTCGACTCTTGATGCTGCGCCTGAATCGGCACAAGTGCGCGTCGAGATTTCCTGGCTCTGGTTTGAGGGATGCTTCAGGTTGTGGCTTCGAGTGCTTCAGGACTTGATGATCACCTCAGGCGCCCCCGGAATAAACGGAGATGTGTCTTGAAGGGACACTTTTGGTTTCATGCTGAGGTTTCCATTTAAAACTTTGGAATTCTTGCTGGGGGCATCAAAGGGCGGCCAGGTTTCAGCAAGACTTACCGACTTTTAGGGTTCTAGGTGCCAGGCCTGCTGGGGTTTAGCAGTCCCTTGGGCCAGGCCCTCAGAAGCCACGGCCCACCGGCGCGCTTCTCCGCTGCTCCTGGGTTTCGGGTGTCGGAAGCTCGATTGCCGCTTAGGGCTTCGGGCTAAGGGCTGCAAAGCCAAATTTACTCAAGTTACCGATCATAAGAAAGGATCACGGTTTACCGCAGTGTCCTGCCCTGGAGCTTAAACACTAACTTCCTTCTTCTGAAACCGCGTCTCCAGGGTTTAGGGTTTCGGTGCTTCCGCTCGGAACTGTTCAGGGTTCGGGGTCGTCAGACCCTTCTTGCCACCGACAGCCGCGACAGGAAACACCAGAGACCCTGAAAAAAAAAAACATCCTACCCCCCCCCCCAGTCGCCAAAACCCCGAAACACGCCAAAACCCCGAAACACACAGCCCCAGAAGGTGTTCAGGGCTTGAGAGCACAGGCAGACAACTCACAAGCTACGACGGCCTGAAGGTGTAGGGTTTTGGGGGTTTAAGGAGGTTTGAGGTTGAAGTTTAGGCTTGAGGGGTCTGTGGTTGGAGTTCTTGCCAGGTCGTGTCCCAACAAATCTACTTTCCCGTCTGGGGTGGTGTCTCGGATTCGGGTTGCTGCTTCTATGGTTGATTCACAGTCGGTCAATACACTTTTTTTGCTGCCAGAGGAAATAATGGTCAGCGAAGCTTCATTCCAACAAAGCGAGGACATCAAGCCTCCATGCCCTACATGCCGAAGCAATGACTCAGAAACCCAGCGAATCCCCACAAGGGTTGCGTCGGTGTTGCGTTCACTGGCCGGTGAACACCCTGGCCGGCGAACGCAGAGAAGGGTGTGTCGGAAACTTATACCAACAAGCCTTCCGCAAACTCTGCTAACTTCTCATCCGTATATCTGTGAACCTGCAGTCCCTCTTGCACCTCGGCAATCTTGGTGTACATTTCGAGTGCCGGCTTGTTCCATTCCAGAGCTAGCCAATAAAACGCCGCACAGTCGAGCCGGAGCCCAATGTCGGCCAAGGCCCTGAGGGTGGTGCTGCCAGCTCCTTTGCTTCGATAAGCTTCCTCAACATAGAGGTCCTCCAAGTACAAAAACCGACCCTCTTTCATGTAGTAGCCGAAGTAGACCACTGCAATGCCGCAGGTTGTCTTTTCGCCTGTGCTGCTGTCAATGTGGTCAATCCTTGGTCGTCCGGCGCATGCACAGTCAGTGTTACCACGCGAAGTTCTAAATTTGCTAAACCCACGAAAATCAGTAATAGCTTAAAGCTTGAAAACCCTAAACTAAGACTCAGCAGGCAGTAGTAGAGTGGAGTGGGGCCGCCACCATCCACGAGGTAGTCGCGGGCGGTGCAGCGAACGGCTTCCAGTGGCTCCTTGCGGTTTGGGGTTTCGCGTTTTGGATTTTGGGTTCAGAGCTTAGGGTTTAGGGTTTGGGGTTTGAGGTTCAGGGTTGAGGGTTTTGGGACTCAGGATTTGTGGCTCAGGGTTTGGAGTTTAAGGGTCGGCTTTAGGATTCTGGGATTGTGGCTCACAGACCCGAAAGACTACACTTGTCTAAATTCACCGTATCCCATGTACCATACACAGGGACATCCACATCTATCACGCACAAAGGCCAAGTAGGATTGAGCGGCAGTCTGTCGGACTCTCCGCCAAACACTAAGGCCCCTGTCGGGTTCACAGCCCCGAACCCGCCAAGGTTGAGGACTGGCTTAGTGTTTTGAAGCTCTCGAAGTTACATTGGGCCCCCCCTAAACCCTCAACCCTAAACCCTAAACCCCTTTTTTGAACGAGGTCTCTCTGAACCCTAAACCCCTAAACCCTAAACCGTTCCTGAGTGTAGATCGCAAGTCCGCGCACGAGCTGCGCCATGACCTCGGCGTCCGAGTCGGTGGAGTCCACCAGTCGGACGTGGAGGTTGGGTCGAGCCGACCTCTCATCTCAAATCTTACAAGGCTCAGAAAACGCGCTAAACCCCAAAGTCTCGAACCCTGAAAGTTTAGGGTTTATAGGGTACTTTTGCATCCAGGCCTATTGTAACTGCCTGTAGGGTACTAAACCATCTTAAACCCTAAAGCCTTCTAGGCCCTAAACTCTAAACACGAAACCCAGAACTCGGACGCCCTGCAGACCCCTAAGCCCTAAAATCTCGGGCTTGAGGCTTACAAAGAGGCTTCTAGAACGTAAGGTTCAGGGATGTTGATGTTTAGGGTTTAGGGTTTAGGGTTGTAGTGCTTTGATCGTTAGGCATTGCAGAGGCTCCTGATCTATGCACCGCCTAACCCAGGAAAGATAAAGTTCGACTGCTGGCTCAGTACCAAGAGACCGGCGCTCTGCCAGGCACTCCTCCACCTCGGCTCTTCTTGCAGGCCCTTGTACAAAACTGCCGGTGCCCTCTTATGAATCGTGGTGGCTGTCTACAAACCCTAAACCCTAAACTGCCCCTAAACCCCTAGAACCCAAGATAAGCCAAGAAGAGCCCAGGAGGGTAGTTCTCTCAATTAGGGTCGCTTTTAGGGTCCTTTTCTATAATAAAGGTGTCGAACACCATAGGGGACCTCAAGAAGGACCCCAATTTAAAGAACAGCCCACCCGGAGAACCCAATATCCCTGAATTAAGGAACAGACCTTAAATCATAATATTAAGGCCCCTATAATCTAAGGTATAGATTCCTTAATTAAGGGGTATTGGGTTCAGGGCCCAGGGGTCCCGGCCTGCTCGGTCACGAAAGCTCGGTGGAAGGCCTTTCCTCCGGCCAGGTCCCTGGGCTGTCGCCCGGCGTAGGACTCCATGGCCGGGCGATCCATTCCTGGGCTTTGGGTTTAGAGTTTAGGGGTTTAGGGGTTAGGGGTTTAGGGGTTTTAGGGTTTAAGGGTTAGGGTTTCGGGTTTAGGGTTTAGGGTTTACAGTTTAGGGCTAAGAAAACCATACTATCCACTACAGATCCCGGTTGTGGTGGCTTCAACTAAGCAAGCTCCTCAAAAAGCACCCAGATTCGAAGAACCAGCAATCCCTCCGAAATCTCTGGGGGACCGGTCTTGTACCATTCGGGGATGGACCGCCTTTTCCAAGTCAGCCGTCTAGAACCAATCCGCAGGGCGATCCTTGCCAGAATTTGAAGGTACAGCTTCTCGGTGTCCTCGTTTAGAGCATTGGGTTCAGGGTTGTGAGTTGTGGGCTTCAGGGTTCGGGGCTTCTGCTTTCCCCAAACCCCGTTTTGAGGAGCTGCAGGCCATCCTAAAATCCCCCAAGCCCCCAGAGCAAGCAAGGGTTTGGGGTCTCTCCTCGTCTCCTTCTGGAAGTTGATCCAGGAAGAGGCACCGTCCATCCCAGGTGGAGTAGCCGACGTAGAAGGACAGCAGCGCTTCCCTCCGGGCTCCGGGGCCCCCCGAAGATTCCGCGAGCAGTCCGAAATACCACGGCGTATCCATGTGCACCTCGGGCAAGAACGCACTCCTGGGCTCTTCAGGAGCTTGGCCCAGCTACCACGATATTTCTCCCACAAAAAAGGATCTCTAGCAAGCGTTGCACGTTTGCTTCTCAAGACAACTTCAAACAAATTCCGTGACAAGAGCCGAGGCTCCAGTCGCTCACGGGCTGGAGGAGAAGTCCTTTCCTGGGCTTTGAAGTAACAAGGAAGAACAAAGTATACACCTTTATTTTTATAAGGGTTCCTTTAAGGTATGAGGTCCGAAAGAAAACTATTCGACTGCGGTACTCCAGAACCCAGGTTCCGGCCCTGCAGGATAGGGTTGACCTCTTGGAGAACATCCTCGATGTGCTGGTTCACGAGCGCTGCTGTCAGCGTAGACGGCGACGACGCCGACATACCGAAGTGTGTAGAGTGGGTGAAAGCGATAGACCCTAAACCCTGAACCGTCTGATCTATTCTCGCTATGCGCTGCTGCCGAAAAGAATACTGGCGGCCTGCTGCTCACGGAGCTTACGGCTCCGGGGCCTCGCCTTCATCCTAGAAGCGCGCCTGTGCCCTGTAGACCTTCGACTTTGGAAACTCAGGGTTTAGGGCTTAGGCTTAGGATTGGAGGCTTGTGCCTAATATAGGGGCCTGGATACTTAGAAGAAGGTTTTGGGTGCTATTGTACTAACATGATAATATAAGGAACCCCCAAAACAGTGTTGGTACTTATCCTCATCAATAAGCCCTAAACCTAAACCCTACATTATGGCTCTTAACATCTTGCGTCATCCCCAACCCAAAGAGGTCACGAGCATGGCGCTACCTTGGAGACCTAGGACTCGAGAAGCTGCAGTGATGACAGGTGCTATGCATGGTTTGGGGTTTCTGGGTTCCATGTTGGGGCTATATGAAAACTGATCAGCTTTGATCCTACATGGGTTTTGTTATACCAAACATGTACAGTTTTAGCCTACATGGACCCAGGTTTAGGGTCCAGCGCCGTGTTCCAACAACATACACGGCGATCCCACAAAAGGTGACTTCATCCTCATCAAGTTCCATCCGGACGCCAATGTGTGAGACAGGTTCATGCAACGTGGCCGTCCCTTGAAAACGCATCTAACCAGAAGAGATTGAAAACCAAACCTTTAATTCCTCCAGCAACACCCTTCAAGCCAAGCAAAGATCCCCGGAACTGCACAACACTTCGCAACTGGAGCTGAATTCAGACTACCAGGCAACTCGAGGCTCAACAGACCGATTGCAGACGCCCAAAACGACCCCAAACCCTGAAAACCCTGAACCCTGGAAAGCCTAAAAGCCCAAAAGCTTAAAAGCCTAAAGGCTTGAGGATTTGGAAGCACTCCCGGCCGGGCTCCTGGAAGCATCTCCCGACCAGGGCGAAGCCGCAACCAGAGCGCAGCAAGTCAGTGCATTCTAAACCCTTTTGCATCCGGTCTGCA